GAATAATATACAGGGTGTTTCATTTAAAAAAATTCAACTATAATATTTTTTACTTATTTGGGACACTCTATATCTTGTAAAAATATTTTCAAATTGTAGCTCTAATAGTCGTTCAAAGAACCCAAAACTTACAATTTTTAAAAATCTAATCGTTTAGCTACAATACTCCGTGTCGTATGTGGTGAACAACCCTGTATATTCAGGATAAGGCCCTACAAGATAAAGGCATTGGCATAAAACTAAATGGCGTCCCAATTAACAACCTTAGGTATGCAGACGACACCGCGGTTATCGCTGAGAACCCTGAGGCTCTTCAAGAACTTCTAGACGACTTAGTTCGGGAAGGAGATCCATTGGGCCTTAAAATAATCACAGCAAAAACCAAGATAACGGTCGTTAGTAAGAGAAATATTCCACCACCCAGCATACGAGTATATACGGACAATGCGTAGACACACTAAATAAGTTCAGATACTGGCTAACATCGGACCTGGACCCCAACTTAGAAGTTACATCGCGTATAGAACAGGCTAGATTAATGTTTAACAAAATGAGAAACCTATTATGTAACCGATCACTCAACATCAACATTCGTGTGCGTTTTGTCCATTATTATGTATACTCAATCCTCTTATACGGCTGTGAGACATGGACGATTAAAATAAACACCATGAGACGGTTGGAAGCTTTTGAAATATGGATCTACAGAAGACTCTTGAAAATACCTTGTAGAGATCATGTACGCAATGGAGAGGTTCTTGGGAGGCTTAACAAGGAAAGGGAATTACTTGCAAATATAAAAAAAAAACGAAAGACAGCATATCTGGGCCATGTCATGCGCAATAGCAGAGCAAACCTTCTGAAGTTGATTATAGAAGGAAAGGTAGAAGGCAGAATAGGACTTGGGAGACGCAAGCACTCTGGGTTGAAAAACTTACGAGACTGGACTGGACTGAACTCACACGCACTGTTTCGAGCTGCGCAGGGAAGACAGTGTTTCGCTGCGATTGTTGCCAACTTTCATTAGAAGATGGTACTATAAGATGAAGCTTTAGAACTAGTTTCCTTCAATGTATTTGGAACAAAATTTAGTTAAATAATCTCTAATATAAAAAATGCAATACTTACAAGTCGATCTTCATTCCTGAAGCAATTTGACGCCCCTTTTGATGATCGTCCGGTTTAAAGAATATATTTTATCACTTGTTTCTTTCTTGTACTACGTAAATTTCCTTGTAATACGATGTAAAGTACCTCAGAGAAAGAGATTAAACAAAAATAAATTAAAAAAAAAAATTATCTGTTGAACGAAGAAAAATTTCAAATTTGATTTAACTTTTATTCAACTAGATGGAATTTAATTAAGAGAAAATGTTGTAATTAGTTCAAAACATTCTTTTATGAAGGTATAAAGCAGTAAAAGACAAACAAGTAAATAGAAATAATATTTTATTTAAACTAATTAGAACTCTAACAACCCTTGTTAAAATATTTTAGTGAAGTTGCTTATTTAAAAAAAAATGTTAGATTCTTATTGTAACACTTAATTTATAAAAATGTTTCATTAACAGAATAAAAACTGAATTAAATAAAAGTGGAAGTATTTCAAACATGATCCACCAACAGTACATTAGTTATTTTAATAACTAAAATTTTATACATTTTCATTAACACTAAGCTTAACTATAGTTTATTGATATTTATATACATTTGCATTCCTTTATATATTACTATACAAATTTCGAAGTATGAGCGATATGTGAAATAAAAATTTAAATATAGTTAATTTAAAAAATTGTGTTGTTAGATAAATATTATATATAGTTATGATTAGGATACTCGTATACATATTCTGTTCATTTTTTAATTAGACTACTGAATTTGCATAAAATAAAATTAGTTTGAAAAGTTCAGTAATACCAAAAACAAATGTTTTTTGAGCAAATTGTTCAAACATTCCGAATTTATTATATACAATACGTCTCTAAGAGAATAATTATAATCAATATAGATAAAAAATCGTCACAACTTTCTACCAAATATTCAAACAGTACAAAACAGCTATTTTTAAGTACAATCGTTTTTGAGAACTTATCATTCGCACCTAAATAAAATATATTTTAAATGTGATTTTTTTCCCTTATAAGGTAAAAATTATAAATAAAAATTTAAAAATTAAATTATTTTTTTATAAAGAACATAGAACTTATTTTAATATCACAGATCTACAAGTAAATTATAAAACAGTTTATCGTCAAAAATATTTAAAAAAATACTTGAACATCAAAAAAAAATACTATAGATATCCTAACCTTTTCAATAATATAAATAAACTCTATACAAATATTTGATACCAATGAAACTTTTAGTTACGTAATCAAGAGCGCGATTTTCAAATACATTGTTGCCAACCATGGACATCCTCGGCGCTGGGCTGACTAACTGAAATTTTAATTTCCTGCTGGGGATTAATTATTTCCTGGCATTTTTATTCGTTTTCACACTTTATTATTGTATTACGAATTTTTAGTTTAAATAAATAGTGTTGTGATACTTTAAATTTAAAAATGTTTACCAGCAGACCTTGCAGTCTAACATTGTTCTTTTTAGAATCTCTTTTAACGCGAAATGTGCAAGATAGCTTAATAGCCGTAAAAAAACTCATCGCAACTTTATTAGAATATTTTGAACGGTAAAGTGGTAGTACTGGCCCTTTATGTTCCTTAAGTGCTGTTAAGAAGGTGAGTTTTAAAATACTTTTATTAAAAGAAAGTATGGAAAAGTGGGCAACGCTGTGCCGGTCAAGCTTAATCATGTGACTAAAAGTTTATTTGATATTTTGAACTATACTTTTAAGTATTTTTAAAATGGTTTAAATAATTTTAACCTAATATTTTCTGTAATTTAAATATTAAAAAAGTATTGAAAACTGATATTAATTGTATATTTATAATTCTAATTATAATATATTATTTTATAACATATAGTTATTCATAAGTGATTAAGTTAGCAAGACGGAGAAAAATTTGTTCAGCAATCATAAAATTAAAAGTTATTTTAAATTACTATTTTTTCCAATTTATAAATTTATATGAAACAATCATAAATTATTGTACAAACCTAAGATAGTAGTAGTATAATTATATGTTAAAATTATATAAAAAATTAAGAATTCTGGTTACTCTCCATGTATAGTAGCAATTTAACACCAAATATATATTAACAACAAATTACCAAATATATTTAAAAATAACGAATAGGTTAAAAGTCACATATCTTTAATACTTCTTCAACAAGTCACTAGAAAAATGTTTTATCTAAAAAAATTTAAGTTTTATCGACTTCTGATGAAAACTGATAGATACTACAGATCGGGGGGAGGAAATATAACAATATAGTCTGATGAAAAAAGATCTGTTCTCTTTATCAAAATTCGATAAAGTCTAATTTTTAGATAAAGGAATGTAAATCAAAAAATTACTGAAATTTGAGTCAGTGTTAGTTTTTTAACGTAGAATAATATTAATTATTTCTCCAAAAAATCCTATATGAGTATTTCGCCACTGCAATAAAATCTACAAAATAAAATAGTTATTTTTTTAAACACTTCTGCGTTAATCCCAAACGGAAACTACTTGTCAGAAGTTAGGTTTACAGATATACAAATTTGCCTAACGAACAAAAAAATGCTTAACACCTCAGAAAGTTTATCTCTTTCCGTCGTCGGAAGCGAAAAAAAAATATTTAAAACTTTTTTTAATAAAAACTATTTAAAATATTTAAATTCAACTATTCGAGAACACTTTTTCTAGTTTTTAAAATAGATACGTCTACAAAAACCGTTGACATGTTTACAGAAAACCCACAAACACAGATAGATACTTAAATTTCACATCTAATCACAGTATAATTGTAAAAAAAGCTGTTATAAAAAGTTTCTATGATTTCACAAAACAGAGATATAAACCACATAAAAATACATTAATAAAAAACGCCTATCCACCATATTTTATTGACAAAACATTAAACGTAATACAAACCCCAAATCATAGACACAATGATAACAATACACAATATATACAACTTACAATTCCATGCATACGAGGCATTTCGGAGAAAATAAGGATAGGAAAACAATATAACATACGAACATCTTTCAAAACACCAAATACACTTAGATCCATTTTATCACATACTAAACCAGTGAATACAGAACAACAAAAAAAAATGTAATGTGAATGCGATATGTTTTACATAAATACCATGTGAATGCGATATGTTTTACATTGGTGAAACATCTAGACCCTTAAATGTTCGAATTAAAGAACATAAAGATTATTTTTTAAGAAAGGGAGATTTTCACAAATCTAAGATTTGTCAGCATTCATGGGACACAGGGCACAGAATAAATATTAATAACGCCAAAATTGTAATGAAAGAAGCGATAGCCTCTAAAAGAAAAATAAAAGAGGCTTTTTAAATACAATCTAATAAGAAAAAATGTATTGCTCATGCATCTGTAGATTTTAGTATTGTATGGCAATCGTTTCTTTGATTTTAAAGAACATAACATAAATAAACATAACATACGTAAAAAATAAAAATAATCTTATAGAAAGTTTGGGGCTTTTTGGTTTTACCTTATTAAGTAATTGTTATCAGGTAGTAATTGTTAATTTTGATGTTTAACTTGATATAATGTCATTTTAACAAAACTTCAAAAAGTGTTCTCGAAGTGTTGAATATAAATATTTTAAATAGTTTTTTCTTTATTCTTTGTATTTTTTTGCTTCCGACGACGGAAAGAGAAACTTCTGAAACGTTAAGCATCTTTTTGGTCGTTAGGCAAATTTGTGTATCTGTAAACCTAACTTCTGACGAGTAGTTTCCGTTTGGGATTAACGCAGAAGTGTTTACAAAAAATAACTATTTTATTTTGTAGATTTTCTTGCAGTGGCGAAATACCCATATAGGATTTTTTGGAGAGATGAAGCCGCCACATAGGTATAGACATTTTTTAATATTAATTAATCTCATTTATATACATATGGAAAAAATTAGCATTCTTTTGTTGTAGGTAGATGTTGTGGCCTCAAACCATTCCACAGATATAATTTGTTACAGTTTAAGGGCTATATGTATATTAAAATATTATTACGTCTTTAACTAATAACCGCCGCTAATTTAATCACTCAGGATTTTGGCTAAGAGATTAGATATTTATCATAAATACGCAAAATTATAGGTATATGTCAACAGCATAATATATATTCTTAATATTTTTCTTAGCACAATAATTACACATCTCGTAAAAAGAGGGGGGGGGGTAATTATATACACATTATATATAGTCCGACTTTAGGAATTACGATATTTACAAGATCAAAGTTTCTCTTAAAAGATAAATGTAATAACCGTTCTAAATCAAACATATCTACTATGAATCTCGTTTACATCATAGCCTTCATATCTAATATACTCAAACTATCTATTAGGCCCAACAGTCTATACTTTTTCAATGTAAGAAACATTTAACGAGTACTTGAGAAATGGTAGTTAAATTTACTTTTACCATATGATTACTTAGTATTTTTTACAATATGCGCGATATTAATATTGTACATGATATTTATAAGGTCCGTCAACTCAAGAAAAGCTGTATAAAACATAATAGAAAAAATATTGTAGAAGATAGCGATGTCGCAGAGCATGTATTTGTCCTGTGACCTCTTGCTGGCTCTGCCAATCCTGTAAATAATATTGTAAAACAATGTCAAGTATGTCATATTTTAAAATTTCTTCGTAACATTACAATATAGCAAGAAAATAAGAGTGTAAGTTTCGTAAGCAAAGTAAGCAGTAATTTTTTTACTGTTTATTTTAGTATAATAAGAATGTAATTTGGTTAATAAATAACATCTAAACTTAATCGAATCAAATCAAAACGAAGCGTTATAGATAAGCGATTTAGATACTAAATAACTATCCTCAATTGAGGGAACAAAAGACAAAAAAAATCTTATATAAAAAAATACAAAGGAGAACGACTAGTTTCGAAACTATTGCGTCTCATCCTCAGGCCTTTTTGAATTTAAGGTACATTCAGACTGAGAGCGTTGTCGTGTTGCGTCGCGTTTGCGTCGCTTCCACCCCATTGAACTTAAACCCTGACGCTCAGCGGACGCTAGCGCACCGCCAAACGCGACGCTGTCTGCCTGAACGGTCTAATTTAAGTTAAGTGAATTGATTTCATTTCAACACGCAGACGCGACGCTCGACGCTCTCAGCCTGAATGTACCTATACTGAGATGTTCGTTAAGGAGACAGTGTCCTGTTAAAAATCTCGTGACAATCCGAAGATTGTTTTCCTCAAATGAAGGAAAATCTTTGATTTTTCTCGGTCGTAAGTTCTGAGAAAGTAGCAGAAAGAAAATATATGGAGAAAAGTAACTTAAACAATAATTAATTGTTCAATTTATATGGTGATGCAGAATAAAATCACTTTTTGCCTTTAAGCCTTAAGGCCTGAGGATGAGACGTAATGATCTCGAAACTAGTCGGCTCCCTTTATATTTTTTGTTAAATAAAATAGTTAGAATACGTACCTTTTATTTCCCCAATTTTATTGAGGATAGTTATTTATAATGAACGCACAAGATACTTTTATTTTATGCTCATAACGTCGTATTCTCCTAATAGTTTTCAGATTAAAGCTAAAATTAATTTTAATTTTTTGTCTCATATTAATGTTTTTTGTTCTTACCTCCAACAATGCTCAAAGCATCCTCGTGGGCACTCCCTGGAGTTACTTTTATTTCTGAAAAAGAAATAAACTAATTTACTGAGTTGTACTGTAATTTCTTTTCTTTTTTCAAAACAAATAATTAACTTGTGGTTCAGTTAATAATCTTCTTGTACTAATTACGTATAATATTCTACAAATTAAGGTAAAATAATAATCATAAATTAACCAAATTTATTTATAGTTTATAAAACTATTTTATTATACTACTTTTTTATTATAGCATTCACATTTAAATATCTTTAAATATCTCAAAAGCCAAAGCTTTTAAACATCTCTAAATAAATCCTATATATGATTATTTCGCCACTGCACTGCAAGAAACTCTACAAAATAAAATAGTTATTTTTTTGTAAAAACTTCTGCGTTAAACCCAAACTGAAACTACTTGTCAGAAGTTATGTTAACAGTTATACAAATTCGTCTAGCAAAGAAAAAAATGCTTAACTTTCATTATTTCGGAAAGTTTTTTGTATGTTTTGAAAAAGGTAATAGATTTAATTAAGAGGCGAAAGAATAAATAAAAGTCAGCAAAATTTTAATAGAGCTGGTACAAATGTAAGAACTTGACAACGCTGTTTCCGATACGCTTCAGTCCGTCCGCCAAAAAACTGTATGGAAGGAATCAACCTTTACTCATAATGTCAGTAGATATGATAACCATTTCTTCTTTTTTAATTTGGCGGGACTTAACGCAGTCTTAAAGTAAATTACTGTGTGGCTCTTTATAAGCGTAGAAATAAGATTTCATTTCTTAACAAACATTTCTGATTTATATACCAGGGTTAAGTTACCATTTATCAATAAAGAAGCATTTCTGTACCATGTTAAAAACGTCACATGATTGTAAGTCTTTTTGGTCTTTTAAAGCGTCCAAATCATAGAGATGGACCAATAAGATCTTTGTAGCATTTATAACTTAAGCTTCAATATCCCTATATTATAATTCCAGTATGATTTTTTTTCAGTCATTATTTCGGAAAGTTTATCTCAGTCATTATTTCAGAAAGTTTTTTTCTTTCCGTCGTCGGATGCAAAAAACTATTTAAAAGAAAATAAAGAAATTTATAAAATAAAGAAAAAAACTATTTAAAAGAAGAAGAAATGTTTAGAAAAATAACTATTTTATTTTGTAGATTTTCTTGCAGTGCAATGGCGAAATACCCATATAGGATTTTTTTGGAGAGATGAATCCGCCACATAGGTATAGACATTTTTTACCATTCTTTTAAACATATTAAACCCTTATAATAAATGTCTCATCTTATGTCCGAGAATCCAAAAATGAAATAAAATACCGGGTGTTCCATAAGAAAAAACATAACTTTGGTATGGATCTTAGTTCTGACACACCCTGTACATTTCAAAATATTTTAAAATTATGCACATTGCCTTCCCACATATACCCATAAAATATTTTGTTTCTACATCTTTCCGTTTTCGTATAATCAACCGAGGCGATGAGGTGCGCCACCCTACTAAATACAAGAGAAAAATTATTACATAATTAATGTGAAGATCTTTTTAAATATAAAATAGAACCTGACTAAAATATCTCACTTAATTTATGTTTTTAAAGCCGCGTACACGTCGCGACTGAACTTTTATCATTTTGAATTATACCATCCGAGAATAACACGAATTTATGTAATTTTACAGTTTAGGTATACAATTAGACGTAAAGTTAATGTAAACAAACAAGATGTTTTCATATTTGACAAGTTAATTAATTAAAAACGTAATTATATTTATCTTAGTTCTCTTCTTATCACTTTAATACTGCCTTACTTTTAAAGCAAATTACATAATAGTTTTAACTAATTATTTAAATAAAGTATAGGTATACAGGGAGGTCCGAATTGTATTCGGGAAACTTAATATATTACAAAAATAATTAAAAAAAGTTCGTAGAAATTTATGTCTTAAAATACTTCGTTTTTCAGATACAGGGTGTAAAAATGTCATTTTTATTTCTGTTTTTTACAAATAAGTTCTGAACTATAGTCGATATCTGGATAAAAATTGGTATCTGGTTGTTTTTTGATATGGCAAATATAATTTTGATATCAATATGACTCCTACTTGTAGGAGGCGCCACCTACATCTGTTTTAACTGTTTTGAATAGTAATAACTTTTTATCTGTACCTGTATAAAACTACTGAATGAAAAAATATACTTTTCAGTCATTCTTTTACGTAAAAATGTCTCTTGGGTAAAAAAATCGCTACAAACAACCGTTCTCAAGATATTTAGAATGGAATTAGTCAATATATGTCGTTATTGACAAAAAATAAACATGTTGAGTAGATAGTTATTTGGCTAAAATTTTTATTTTTTTAATTTTTTTCTTCAAAAAAATTATGATAAAACAGTTTCTGTCTAATAAGTATTGGTTAACCTGTTTAATTTATGCGAATGGCGACAGGTATTAATAATATCGAATCCAAAAATCTCGACAAACATTGCCCGTAGCGATTTTTACCAAAAAACTTTGTTTGCGTAAAAAACGCCGTAAATGTATATTTTTACTCAGTAATTTTATACAGGTACTGGCATTACCTGTCAGACCAGTTAAAATATATGTAACTGGCTCCCTCCACAAGTATGAGTCATATTGGTATCAAAATGAATTTTTTCATGTTAAAAAATCCTCTGATACTTTTTTTCATCGAAACATCGACGTTAGTTCAAAAAATATTTGTAAAAAAATCGAAATAAAAAAGAAAATTCTACACCCTGTATTTCTGCATTTTAGGACACACACCTATACGAACTTTTTTACCTATTTTTATCTGCAGGATATGCTGCTGAAGTTTCCGGAATACAGGTCGGACCACCCTGTATAATAAAAATAATTCTCGAAACTAATTAAGAAAGAGTCTATTTATTTTTAATTAAAATATAATAATTTGGAAAACAAAATTAAAACAATTTTCATAACAAGGCAATTATTGTACTTTGCATTAAATTCGAAATTATGGTAGAGTAAAATTTTATAAATTACTAATAATATTCAGAAACCGGCTAGTATTCTAATTAACAAATAAACAACTTAAAAATAATAGTTTTCATGCTAATTTAATTTTAGGATAAATTTACAAAACCATTATTTTTAGCGTAGGTTTATTTTTTAAAGAGTCTATTTAGAGTTGAAAAAAAATTTGGATGTAAACAAGTAAACATGTAATCTATGCACAGGGTGGCGCCTCTCTCATACGCCGCGGAAGCTCTAAGGAGAACGGTAGTATGTAGCGTATGTAGGTTAACTGAAAGCATTTTATAAAAATATATAGAATTATACAGGATGTCCCCAAAAAAAGTTACACATCAAAGTTGTGTTTTTTCTAATGAAACACCATATATATCAATTGATTCTCGAATTCTAGGAAAAAAATAAAGGTGGGTTTTATTAAAGAAGCATATACCTAAAATCTAAGGATTTTGACATATTTCACATTTTGTGAAAATGAAGAGTAAATTTTAAATTTCGATAACAGCTACCTAAATTTTAGTTGACTTTGTATAGCCTGATATTTAATTACAGTAACCATTGTATATTAAACCAAATTGAAATTTGACCCGAAAAGTTATACAGGGTGAGTCAAAATTAATATGGAACATTAGTCACTTTTAAAAGCAAGTTACTCCTTTATTTTAAATGGAACACGCAGTATATTATTCCGGTGTTCAATGGGGAACTTATATATCTTCAAAATATTATTAAGGTTGCCTACCCCTCAGACAAAGATTTTCCTATATATTTTAATTTTTATGATTTTTGCGTCAGTAGATCTTTATTATTTGAAAAAATCTAGGGTGGCTGTGATATACCTTGTGTTAATTTAACAAAAATTAAAGATTGTAGAGTAAAATACACGACGGTAATAAAAAGATACACTTTTAAAACATATTTTAATTATTACACAAAAAACTAGATATAAACCTACAATTATGTAACAAAAATTAGCTAGATGAAATCAAGTGCTCAAAATGCATCCTTTCCTGTTAACTGCATAAAATGATTGCCTTTTCAAAAGGATCTTTTAATTTTAAAAGGCATTATGTGGAGTTTTACCTCGAAAAGCAGCTACAATAATTTCTCTAATGTTGTTGACAATAATTGGTCAAGTTTTTTAAACACTCTCTTTAACATATCCCCTTAAAAAACCCAGACTAGATAAAATCAGGAACTGACACAAAATGATAACTAGTTGTTAAAGTTGGACTAATTAGACAGCTATGTTGAAGTAACGTCAGACATATCACAGCCACCTAGATTTTATCAAATAATAAAGATCTACCCAGATCAAATCATATAAATGAAAATATCTAGGAAAATCTTTGTTTGAGGGGTAGGTAACCTTAATAGTATTTTGAAGAGACATGAATTTTCTATTAAATACCGGAATAATATACTAGGTGTTCGATTTAAAATAAAAGAGAAACATGCTTTTAAATGTAACCAATGTTCAATATTAATTTTGTTCGTTTCACCCTGTATAATTTTTTGGATCAAGTTTTAATTTGATTGAAAGTATAACAGTTAATTTAACTAAATATTAGGCTATACCGGGTAAATTCTAATTTAGGAAGCTTTTATTGTAACTTAAAAATTGTTCTTTATTTCTAGAAAATGTTAAATATGTCAAAAACCTTACATTTTAGTCATATACTTCTCTTATAAAATTCACCTTTATTTTTCTTCCAGAATCCGAAAATTTCCATTACAAAAAACACAACTTTGATATGTAACTTTTTTTGGGGACACCCTGTAGAACTCTGTATATTTTTAAAAAGTGCTCCGAATTAACCTACATATGCACACAATATTTAATTTTAATACAAATTGTTGTTCTCCTTGGAGCCTCCGCGGCATATGAGAGGTGCCACCCTGTATATGTCCATTTAATCATTTTAAATGAAAAACCCTATGTAACCCTATGTATAAATATGTGTTTATTATTTATATTAGATGTTTATTAAATATAAATAATTTGGATTAAAACGAAGTGTT